ACACGACCTTCCACTACACTTCACTACATTACACTACACTACACTCCACTACACTACAACTACAGCTACAACTACACACTACACTCCACTACACTAAATTACACTACACTACCACATTACACTACATTCCACTACACTCCACTACACTACACTACATTACACTACACTACAGTACACTGAATAACACGGCACCACAGATAGACAGGTAGACAGATAGACAGATAGATAGATAGACAGATAGACAGGTAGACGGCTAGACAGATAGACAGATGAAAGAGAGAGAGGGAGAGATAGAGAGAGAGATATATATATATAGATAGATAGATAGATAGATAGATACATAGATAGATAGATAGATAGATACATAGATAGATGGATAGATAGATAGATAGATAGATACATAGATAGATCGGTAGGTAGGTAGGTTGGTAGTCAGAGAAAGAGAGCAAAAGAGAGAGAGAAAGAGAGAGAGAGAGAGAGATCAAGCACCTTTCAGTCCATCAGTGGCTTCGCTCTGCCATCCCTGATTCACAACAACCAACCTCTCCTATAGGTTTCCTATTTTTGAAACTTCCGCCGCGGCCTTGTGCGGTACTACTGGTAAGTAAAGTAACTATACCAACAATGAGAATATTGGAATATCATGAGGATTTAGAGATACGTGTGCGTTGTTGGGACAATATCAATACCCCCCAAACGACACCCTTGTGGAACGCATTGGAGCTATTAAAGTTTGGGTTCCTTGGGGAATTAAATATTGGGGGGATGGGATTGTTTATGAAATTGGATCCAGTTAATGAACCATCCCCAATTCTCCACCATAGAAGGGGCTATGAAATAATTCATCCCACTTGCGGGGCCATGCAAAATTTCATAAACCACTACTATTGGGGATGGTTTATCAGTGTGGATCCTCCATTATCTATCAAACTGGGCCGATTCAATCTATGTTGTCAAATAGCTCGGCAACATGGAGCATCTGGGCAAGGTCACACACGGCTCAAAAATCTCCAATTTGTACTTCTATAAAAACAAAAAGACAGTTGCCAGCTGAGACTAACAAAAGGCACACGGTTCACAAAAAAATCGGGAGCCAAAACCACAGCTGCAGGCCCACCTTCACAATCAGGTCGCAGGCAAAGCCACCTGTGTAGCCACGCGCTGCAGGCACCTGGGCCATCGAGTTAGCTGGTTCTCACGTGATCTCAATGGAGTGTTAATACGTATTAATATGTGCATCCCCCATTGAATCCCATCGAAGTGAGGTAAATCCAAAGCGGGAAAATGGTTGGTTCCGAGAGAGATACTCTTGGCCATGGATAGTTATTATGGCAAGTTGCCATACCTTACCTGGAAGTTGGGATCAGTGGCTAGGAAATGGTTTACAAAATCCCAAAGTGGGATATTTCATGGGTTCGTTCGGGTTTTGAATGAGTCATCAGCCTATAATCAAGGGTTCTGCCGGGTTCCCCATGCATGAAGTGACGTCGGCCAGTGGGGTCGCTACATTTCATCAAGATTATTGGGGTCAGCAGCCACCTTTTAACTCCCATTTCAACTGGTGCGTTAAAAACACTTAGCAAATGGTGTATCTTCTCACTTTTACTGCATCCCATCAATGAGCTTGGAGGTCATCCCACTTAGCAAGGTGTTGATGTAACCCTGGTTGGCAAGTCTTCGATTTCTGGGGGTATCCCATTTTTTCAAGTTAGGCAACTAATCGCACAAACACTAACCAGTGGTTCACTCTAACAGAAAGTAATATCCAACCAACAAAAAATTGAGATATATTATAATTATAACCAACAAAAATGGAGATGTACTGCAGCCAATGATGATTACGAACTGATACGAACTGGTTGTCCAGGTGATCCTCCAAGTAGTTCTCGTTAAGTTCCTCTGCCAGGGTGCTCCTTCCATAACTCCAGGGCAGGGGTTGTACAGCTCGCTGCTCCAAGACCTGCCAAGCAGAACTGGAGATTCAATGATTGAAAAGCATCAATCCATTGGCAATCCGAATTCTTGCAAACCGGCTTGTGTCATCCAATGTCTACAATAGTGGCAATCATTCGGAAAAAATCGAGAGAGAACCCTCTCGCAACCAGTGGATGCAGCTCAACCGATCGAGCCCCTGGATGGAGTTGGATGGAACCACGGGAACCATAACCCAAACAGCGTCAGTTGGATCAGAAGCCTGTCCTGTTCACCTGAAAATTTATAGAGCTCGAAGATTTTTATGTGTGTATTCCTCCCCCATAAGTATGTAAATTCATTTGTGACATGACCCGCCAAAACGCTTTGTCATTCCTTTCTTGATTTGTCTCCCTATTTTTGATGTTTGGACCCTTGTATAAACCTCAGGTTTTGGTGAGGGTTTCACTAGTCTTTTCCCACCTGCCAGAGCTGATATTCAGAATCTCCGCCAGCTTCTTCTGGTCCAAACCAAAACGCCCTGCTAGCGCGTGGCCCTCGCAGACGCCCGCCATGGTGATACCCAGCACCAGGTTGTTGCACAGCTTCGCAGCCTGGAAAACATGATGACTTGTGTCTTATGGGCACAACTGCCTATGGGACTTCTCAATTTTAGCAGAGATGCAGGCAAACCCTCAAGGGAAGGCAAATATTCAAGAGCGGAACATCGCTATACTTGGCCTATCAGGAAGGAAATGGCCAAATGTCCAAATATCAGATTCTAAACTGCAGACCCCTGTCCACCCACTGATATCCAAAAAAGAACTAACCCTCAACTCCTGCAACCGTTGGGCCGAACATCTCGCCACTTCCAGCATGGGGTTTTGGTGGACACAGCTTCGTTGCTCTCAACCACAAGGGGCTTTCTCCAGCAGACTTCTGCATACAGTCAGGCGGGCCTGACCCATTCCAGCATCCCCGCAATGGATCACCTGCAGCGTCGCAAGTGATTCCCTCGGCGTCAGGGTGATGGGTCAGCCATGCCTCGCCTTTTTCCCCATGTGCTGAAGGATAAGCTCGGCCTGTTTCACGGCCACTTCAGGCCTCGGACCATGCCGTCCTGTATGGGATCACCAATGTGGAGGGAAAAGATACGCTCGGACAGAAACTGGCAATGCAAAAACCCGCCACATTTAGAGATGATTTACTTGCTGAAAATGGTGTTTTCGCAGTGCGAGGTAGAATTCCCAGAGGGTACAAAACTTGGAATTCATTGGTCTAAACATTTTCGTGGACCGGGAAATCTGTGACATCCGCACTTTATGCCCATCACCCCCCAAGTGAAGCAAGCCACTTTACCTTCCACTCTGAAAAGTTCTTTTTATACATCTTATACCCAACTGAGGGTTTCCTGAAATAGGGATACCCCAAATCCAAAGCCTTTAGACCATTTCTAGTATTGAAACCCATGGTGACTTGGGGTACCCAAAAGTGAACAAATCCCCAGAGCTGAGATTGCTGCCCGCCGACCATGAAGGTAAGGCTCGCCTGAACGAAGGTCTAGCTGTGGTGCCACCCAGATATCACTTGGTTTTGAAACCTCATGAATTATCGATATATCTATGAACACAAACCCAGCTGTGAACCTAGTTGTTTTTTTTGTTGTATACAAATCAGCTCAGCTCCGCCCCCTCATTGTAACCTTAAACTACAGTACCTTAAACTACCATAAACTACATTAGTAAATCAGCACGTCACCTTGGACTGGGCTATATTGAGATGTCCAATCTACATTGATCTATGATATCAAAAGAAACCACCTTCGGTTGCTTGGTTTCGAACTGTCGGCATGATGGTTCTACTGGCAATTAAAATGATGTTAAGCATCCATGATAATCTTGTTCGATTCAAGATTAATTAGTACTTTAAAATACTTTCAGTATGACTGTCCAGAGAGGAAAAAGTCTGACGGCCAAGACTGATTAACAGTAATGGCCTTAGGTCAGAAGCATGAATCAGGAACAGATGTGGTGATCTGGCACAGCCCACTGGAGGCGACAAGTTCGCCAGACCACCCGCAAAAAAGGGAAAGAAGACTCAGAGGCAAAGCACAAGCCAGGTTGACGCAAGTGCTGCCGAACCGACGGAAAATTACCGGCTGCATGGCAGAAGGCTTAAAACTGGATGCGGCCCGTGGCGCAAGCCGGGAAAAGTGAAAGCGGCACAAGGCAGCAGGCTAACTCAGACGATCTTGGCCAGCTATTCCGCAGCTGCTTCTTCACTGCGTGATAATCTTGTTCGTGACAGTGGCCACAATCGTGATGCGTTAGATTCATTAGATGGTGATGAAGATTCCGACGAAACACGAGCCTTCACCCTGCACGGGTTGAATGCCCGGTCTTGCACAGTAATGTTGATTTTAATGATTGCGGATTTGTTCATGATCATCGTGACAGATGGCGTTTTTGAAAAAACCATATCCAGAAACTTTGAACATATGTTATCCTATGTATTAAAAGTTGTCATTGTGGGATGTCGCTAAAAATCAGCAACCCACATTGCAAGCTCCTGCGTAGCGGAGGCAACTGCCCCTTGTATATTGCTGAGAACAACAGCGAACAACAACTGGTGGAATGGCAAGTTTGGTCTATCTCAATGATAATGACAAGTTTGTATAGACTGACAACCAATGATAATGATACTACTGATTGCCAACTTTAGCGATATTAATGATAATGGGAAAGAATCACTAAGTAAAGTAAAATGGAATCCACTAAAGTAAAGTGATAATGTACCATTGAATGATCATGGTATGGAATGTGTAAAGAATAACTAAATAACATGAGAAGGAAAAGTTTGAGTGGTGGTGTTAAGAATTGTGATCAGAATATATATATATATATGTATAATATAGCTATAACAAATGTCTGTGATGAGGCACCTGCTCAGCTGCAGGAGTACCCCCTGAGACTGGAGCATCCACCGTGGCGGCACCTGGCGGAAACTCTGCGTGCTTCGGCAAAAAACAAAAGTCTTCAGAAATGTATCCTAATTACTGTATATCCCAATAATTAAAAAACTATGATATGTATTAGGATATAGATATAACTAGGATATAAATAATTATAGTACCCAAAAAAGTCATATAACTGAGATATAATTAGGATATTTTATTGGGATAGGCGATATGGGATAGATATCTCACTCGCAATATGATAGAGTGGATGGGCCGCGAAGTTATGGCCATCAAATAATGGTGCTTAGGATTTTGGAATTCCAAGTGCGTTTTGAAACAATCCCATATGGCCAAAAGACCCGTGGGGTTGGGGAATCTAGAATTTGATCCAGATGTGGCCTCCCGCCAAAATCACCTGGCAACTAACCTTTTCTCACGAGTGGGTAGCAACTTCTGGCTCATGGGGTACCCAAAATGTCGGTGGCAAATTCTGAGGATTTGATTTGGACCTCAACAGCAAAACTTGAAGAATCGGAAGAATTGAGGATACCAACAATCACAAAACCCAGCTTCAGCCGGCCCACCTCTTTGGCCCGCCAGGGCAGCCACCTCCAAGTGTTGGAAGTGATGGCTTTGGGGAAAATTGATGGAAATTATGGGTGGGCATCATCCCCCGTTCATAGAAACTTTTCCAGTACTCCACTGTGCCTGATAAATAGGAATTTGAGAGCACCAGACCGTCGATCAAACTTATTTGAGGAGCAAAAACTGCATTGGTTCATGCACGGTCAAATACCAAAATGTCAAGTGCTTCAGTGACTCAGTTGCTTAGCCATGGCTACAAGCCACTTAGTCGCGTGGCTTTAATGTCCTTTTGGGAAAGATGGGCCGCCTTCGATACCATTTATAATAATTGTTCGCACCTGCATCATTTATCAACATCATTTGGCAGTGTGTCAAAACCTTGTACCCCTGTAGTTCACATCAAAATAGTTGGTAAATGGATGTTCATCCCACTAAAAATGGTATTTTCATAGGTATTGATCCATAGCCATTTATCAACCACCCAATATGATGGGAGGACAGCAGCTTTCAGTGGACATGGCACCTGCTTGCCAATGGCGGGCTCGCAGGTGGAGCAATCGATCAGCAAGGACCCGTTCCCCGCCTCAGGGCTGGCCGTCAGTGATCAGTGGCAGCCATGACATTGGCACGTTGGCACATGGCATCCGACAGTCACTGGTTCAACTTCATGCTTCATTGTTCTTGGTTACAGGTTATGTTCAATTTTTTGTATCAAATCTGAGGTGGGTGTCAGATTGGTCCAAAACATACAAAGTGATCCAAATGTCTATGTTCCTGGGGTCGCCTCAGTGTTGACCCACACCCACGTGCAGATTGGCATCGTACCCCACGCATGTCCGCCTGTGCACCCCCACACCACCATCTGATAGCAGGCCATCTTGCCCGTTATAGACCTGCTACTGTAGACAGCCACCCAAGCGGAATTTTCAACCCTAGGGAGGAAGATGTTCATCAGAAAAATGTAACTATGACCATGACAAACCCTCAAATGGGACATTGGATTCTCAACCATGGTTGCAACCCAAGTATTATCGGGGTCCCAAGTGGTCGGCCACTTGGAGTGAATGTGTTCGTTCTCCATGGTGACCCGAGATACCAATCTGGACCAACAAAAAAATGCACAAACTCAGGAATGTTAAGCCATTCTTACTTGTCACTTATCTCATGGTTGGGTAGAAACTTTGACCATCAATGTGATTAAATCCAATCCTATAAACATCCCTATTTCGAATGGTGTCCCACCCGTTTCCGGGAAGTCATTTGGATGGTTCATGAATTTTGGTTTGCCACACCTATCATTAAAAACCCATGTTCGATGATTAAATCAAAATCCCAATTTTCAATGCTGAAGTACCATGAAGTACCCAGGTTTGCTCCTTAAATGCCGACTCTTCACCCACCAACCCCTGAAAACAGGCGCACCTCCAAGACGTGAGACCCAGCCGGCAGCATGGTCACGACCGTCTTGGCCAGGGCCGCCACAGCCAAGGGAGACCTCTGCTCCCGCTTGGATTGCCAATGGTTCACAAGTGTGTCCTGGAAAAGTGATGAATAAGAAATAGTCACTTTAGAGATCATACAGACATCATCCAAATCCAAGGCCAGCCCATAGCTTTGGCTCATTTTGCACACCCATCCCACCTTTAGGTAGTACCAAGATTTGATCTCCTAAAATTCCTTTCTTTTTCTGCAAATATCTATCATATCTCAGCATCAACTTCAATCCGTCTCCATATTGACTGACCCATACAAAAGGGATTCTCGGAAGATCCCATGTCTGCAGGATGGGGCCCCCCAATTATAAGTTGGTTTATAAACCATTATAATCCCCATTAAATATAGTTATATCTACCATAAACCATCCATATCTGGGCCCCAATTTTGATCCAAAACGCTGCCGGATGTGCCGGGATTTTTTTCGGGTCCCGGGCTCCACAGGTTGACCTCCAGCTGCCGCGAAGCTGTCGAGGTTCGCAGGCGACACATCAAATCCCACCACCTGGCGGCTGAGTTGGTTTCAAAAATTTCTGGAACAGATGAATTACAGAAACCAACTCAGAAACCAACTAAAAAAATACTCAAAAAAAAATCGTGTATTCTTATGAATTCAGATGAATTACAATGAATTATAGATAATTATAGCTAGAATTGACTAAAATCTTGGGGGGTATTCGACAGTGGAAGCAAAATCTGTAATCTTGGAGTTCGGGTGTTCCTGGTTCTGCAGCTTCTCTGCAAACAAGGAATGGTTCAATCAGAACACGGCTTGGTGAAAACCTCGGAAACAATGCAACAAGTATTCGCAGAGGCCAGCATTCCAGCGGTCCGTCATGCCGTACATCGACCTGTCCTGAACCAGCTCGCCCAGACACTGACCTTCGTGAAACTTGCATCGTCTGGACAGAAGGCCCACACCTTACATTCAGCAAAGTCCGCAAGATAGATTGCTCCACCTTCAGTTACGAACAGATCCCCTAGACCCGTATCCTTTTCGGTTGGGAGTTACAGCAGGATTGGACGGATCAGCTGGATTGATGCGAGCAACTTCAGTTTTGTCAGTACAAATGGCATAGATCACCTCTTCCTTGGTTGCAAACATCTTGTACGCGTAGAATGGAAATCCGTTCATCACCAACAGGAATGTCAAGCCCACCAACTTCTGCAGTGTGCGGCGCATGTGGATAAGCACACAAAGCGCTCCATTGGGTGAGCAACATGTTGTGAAATCATTACCAAGATTTGTCAAGCAGCACGTGTGGGGATCCATCTTGGAGACAGACAAGGGACTCATACATCAATTTCCCTAGGAAAAATCGCCATGTTGTGCATGGTCCCTCTGCCTTCGCGATGGACAATTTGTTGTGCGTTGGTTCCCAGCCCGCAAAGCTTCCAACAGAGGACACCGCCGCTTCTTTCTGCATGGCACCTTCGTGGCACCTGAGGGGAGCCGCATGGTGCACTTCTCGTGCTGGAGCTTCAGAGCTTCAGGGAACGGCGCCTCGGTTGAAAGTTTCTGTGGACTTTTGGTTCTCTTTGTTCTCTTCCGACTTCGCAAAGCTTCATCAACTTCTCAGTACAGGTCGCCACCATGTGGGCAGAGCGTGAGACTGCCAAGTCGAAGCAAATTCTCCACACTGCTTCAAGTTTTGAACCAATTCATACATCCCTCATCACTGCTTCCTCTCGAGATACGGCCAGATTTTCTCTTTTCAATATTCGTGGCAGCTGAAGTGCACTAAGCTTTCGGAAGTTTCGATTCAGGATGCAAGTCTCAAACTCTTCCGCGACCTCTTCGCATGCGGCCCTCTCTGCGCATACAGATTTCAAAGCACGGAGGCTATGTGCTTCTTGTGGCACTTGGCAGGTAGGGCACTTGGAGGGTAGCATTGCTGTCCAGGGAGGTACGGAAGCCTGCCTCAATCGCACTTGCTAACTTTGGCAAGTCGTAGGCCTCTGCCAGTCGTAGAAGTTCAAGACCAGCCTCCAGGTTCACCTCATCTTACCCACCATAGAGAGAGATATATATATATATGCATATGTATATACATATATATATATATGCAGTGTGTATATATATATAGAACCGTTGCCTTCGAAGCAGCGATTTCCACTGGCTGTCCTTGTTGCATTCAGTCTGCTGCCAGAAAGATCCACACAACAACTTCTTGAAAGACATGCAGGCTGCAGATAGCAACCAACGGCGTGAGGGCAATGTTCTGCACCATCACTGCTTTTCAGTACAAGATCACAAAGATGGTCCTCCATCCATTCTCGAAACTGCTGCACGATGCCAGAATGATGCTGAGCCAATCTACATCTTCGGTCGCACGAATCAGAATCCCATGGCTTGATGGGTCTGCAGCTACTTGCAGAAACCTCCAGAAATTTGGCATCATATAAATATCATACATTTACCTCCACACCGTTGTCTGGTCAATATCACTCCTAGAGTTCTGGAATTGTGGGGTGTCTCCTTTTGACCCATAGCCATATGGGCCACATCCCTTGGTGTACAGACCCGCTGCTAGTGGTGATACGTCCATTACGGCAACACTTGAGTGACCATTGCAACTCGTAGTTCAGTGGTCAACAAATTCAACTATTATGTTTAAAATGATATTTGTTTAATTGCGCTCATGTTCGTTGTCATTTTCATTGACAGTAACTTAGTTATATAAAGAATTAAAAAACAATACATATACCTGAGAAGGGGGGAACGAAAGCCAGCATCCCATCTATCCCTATGTTCCCCAATGTTTTTCACCCAGAGACTCTTCACCCAGAAACTCTTCTTGCACATACTTTTCACCCATATACTTTTCACCCAGAGACTCTTCACCCAGAAACTCTTATTGCACATACTTTTCACCCAGAAACTCTTCTTGCACATACTTTTCACCCATATATATACTGTTCACCCAGAGACTCTTCTTGCACCTACTCTTTCACCCATATACTTTTCACCCAGAGACTCTTCACCCAGAAACCCTTCTTGCACATACTTTTCACCCATAGACCCTTCACCCAGAAACTCTTCTTGCACATATTTTTCAGCCATATACTTTTCACCCAGAGACTCTTCACCCAGAAACTCTTCTTGCACATACTTTTCAGCCATATACTTTCCACCCAGAGACTCTTCACCCAGAAACTCTTCTTGCACATACGTTTCACCCATATACTTTTCACCCAGAGACTCTTCACCCAGAGACTCTTCACCCAGAAACTCTTCTTGCATAGATTTCTCACCCAGAGACTCTTCACCCAGAAACTCTTCTTGCACATACTTTTCACTCATATACTTTTCACCCAGAGACTCTTCACCCAGAAACTCTTCTTGCACATACTGTTCACCCATATACTTTTCACCCAGACTCTTCACCCAGAAACTCTTCTTGCACATACTTTTCACCCAGAAAGTCTTCTTTCACATACTTTTCACCCATATACTTTTCACCCAGAGACTCTTCACCCAGAAACTCTTCTTGCACATACTTTTCACCCATATACTTTTCACCCAGAGACTCTTCATCCAGAAACTCTTCTTGCACATACTTTTCACCCATATACTTTTCACAGAGACTCTTCACCCAGAAACTCTTCTTGCACATACTTTTCACCCATATACTTTTCACCCAGAGACTCTTCACCCAGAAACCCTTCTTGCACATACTTTTCACCCATAGACCCTTCACCCAGAAACTCTTCTTGCACATATTTTTCAGCCATATACTTTTCACCCAGAGACTCTTCACCCAGAAACTCTTCTTGCACATACTTTTCACCCATATATACCAGAGATGGCAACAACAGTTGTCCAATTTTAGCTGACGACTCCTGACGACCCCTGACGACCCCTGACGACCCCTGACGACCCCTGACGACCCCTGACGACCCCTGACGACCCCTGACGACCCCTGACGACCCCTGACGACCCCTGACTGACCACAGGAGATCTTTGTCCGTTTTGACGCCCCTGTCTCTGACCTTTGTTCGTGTGTTGAACGTATTGGTTTGTAGGGTGGATGGGCGGGAAATTTCAACAATTTACCCCACATATTCTGTTGAGCGTATTGCTTTGTGAGGGGTTAAATCATGTTAAATCTATAACAATGACTCATATGCTAAACCTATTGCTTTGTAGGGTCGAGGGAGATAAGTTTCAAAAATGGCTCAAGATGCCAATGTTCTTCACATGTTCAACATATTGGCTTGCTGTAGGAGAAGGAATTAACGAATATAAGAATGATTACATTTCATTTTGTTCATATATTCAACGTAATAATTTCCAGGGGAAGGAAAAGACACCTTAAACATGGTTCATGATGCCAAGTTGTTTTATATGTTGAACGTAGTGTTTTGGTAGGGGACAGCGGGGAAAAAACATAACAATGACTCAAGATTCCAAATTGGTTGATATGTTGAGCGTAGCGTTTTAAAAGGGATCGGGGGAGATGGAGGGAATACATTCAAACTTCAAAACAACGACTCAACATGTCAACTTTGTTCATATATTACAGGTACTGCTTTGTATTTTGTGGAGTCGACGAGAGGTTATAAATTGCAAAAATAACCCCACATGTCAATTTTCTGCACTTGTTCAACCGTTTGCTTTGTAGGGTCGAGGGGGGCTAAATTTTAAGAATAACTCGACGTGTCAACTTTCACCGTAAAAAAAACTCGACGTGTCAACTTTCACCGTTTTTTTAACGTATTGCTTTGTAGGGTCGAGGGACTGTAAATTTCAAAAATGACTCAAGATGCCTTTCTTTCCATGTGTTCAACGTATTGTCTTGTTGCAGGGGAAGGCAAGGAACATTTTGACATAAGTAAAGATGCCATGCTGGTTCATACACTAAACATAGCGTTTCGTAGGGGACAGGGCAGGTAAATCCAAAAGAATGAATCAACATGTCAACTTGATCCATATGTTGAATGTATTGCTGTGTATGGTCCAGTGGGCGTAGATTCCAAACATGACTCGAAGTTCCAATTTTGTTCGTTCAACGTCTTGCTTTGTTGTAGGGGAAGGTAAAGACATTTCAAACATGACTCAGGATGCCAAGTCGGTTCATATGTCGAACAAAGTGTTTTGTAGGGGGCCGGAAGATAAATCTATAGCAATGACTCAACATGTCAACTTTCTTCATATGTTGAATCAACCGTATGGTTTTGAAGGTTCGAGGGGGGGGGTAAATTTTCAAAATGACACCACGTGGTAACTTTCCGCATACAATGAACGTATTGTTTTGTAGGGTCGAGGGGGGTAAATTCGCAACAACGATTCCACGTGTCAACTTTCTTCCAACGTTGAACATATTGCTTTGTAGGACCGAAAAAGGGAATAAATTGAAAAATTGGTAAATTGAGAAATGACTCAAGCTGAGAATTGCCCCCATGTGTTCAAGATATTGTTTTTGTGGGGGAGGGCGGATGACAAAAGATGACTTAACGTTTCAACTTTGTTCCTATCTTCAAGGTTCTGACTTGCATGGAAAA